ATGATTGTTGTTTATGAAATAACTTACCGTAAGATGTTTATGCTTTTCCTACAAGAAATTTTGTTTGTACATTTATGGTATAAGGCCTCGTTAGATATCTCTGAGAAAGAAAATGTGTTGGTATTATTATTATTCAAAACAAAAAAAACATACAATGCAAAGGTTTGTCAAGGAAAATACAACAAAATTGGAATATTAACAAGAGGAAAACCCAAAAAAGCGCAAGAAAAATATAGTACGATAGGAGTGGACAAGAAAATCCAAAATAAGTAATCTTGCATAGGACCGAGACAGAGATGAGTCAGTAAGCCATAACCGAAATCAAAGACATCAACACAATCAGCCTCCCAAACTCTGGGGAATTCTTTCTTTAACTAACCTCAATGTTGCACGCTCTAGGAATGTGAGTGAGGAAACATAGTACATATCTCTCGTCTAGATTTTTTTTAATAAAATTAATACATTTTATGGTATTTTCCTTTCCAAACTATGTGAATCTTGCCATTCTCTTGAGTTTTATTTTATTTTATTTTATTTTTGCATCATTGGTATGTTACTCCCTAGTGGGGTGATGAAGTGAGTTCATTAAGTGCATTCAGAAAGAAAGAAATACAACATAACTTTTAGGAAATGATTGAAATACAAGCATGGATGATCCACTTTAACCCTTCCGTTAAAGTTTATTCCACTTTCAGGCCATGTTTTTTCTCCAAAGTCTATACATTGCCTAATTGGATATATTTCAACATATCAATCAGTTACTTTATCCCTGATTAGACAACTAGCAAGCATATAGAAAAAATATATATGGATTATAATAAAATAAAATATACCATACCGTCTTCCTATCTTTTGCATGAAAAAGAGTAATTGAATTACAATTTTACATTAATGTTGTTCTTTAGAGGGAGATTTGCATATAGAAAATATGTGCAACTTTTTTTTAAGATTTATTTTAATTATGAATCTAATCATATACTATGTATTAATTTTGGTTATAATTATTTAGATGAAAAGTCCAAATCTCCATGGCTATAACCCTACAATGTCTACAAGGTACAACTTAGAAAGAGAAAGCACTATCTTCCATTGAGATCCAAAGGCCAAAGGAAAATGGTATGCTGTACAACAGTGAGAACAATCTTCAGAGACTTGAATCTACTTATGTGAGGTGAAGTGCTTAACCTTTTCTATATACTTACCTATTTCTTTGAAAGAGGTAGTAGCTGATTGAAAGAGTACAATAGTTTGATTCTCAAGTCTTTTAGGGTCCTTTGATTCCATTTCTTCCATGTTTTTTATGCTAGAACTCCAGCTTAAATGCACCATTTTCCATGGGATATATTAAATTCTCCATATCTGTAAAACTAAAAGGAAATTTATATGGCACTTCATCCAGATGATGGAGGAGAAAGAAATGAAGCTCTTAACCTGCAATTTCTCGATAAATTTCCACTATAAACACATATGAGCCAAAAACATGTAGTACGCTATCAAAACACTGCTTTACACTTGAGATTCCCATTTTTCTTTCCAACTCCCGAGTTTGTGAAAGAGAGAGATTCAAGAATTCATCAACCCAGAAAACCTAGTTAGAAAAAGAAAGACCTAAACCTAGAACGTTCCATAAAAATAGAGAGAGAGAAGGGGCCGGGAGACTCGTCAGCCCACTTCTGGGAAAACCCTGAGGGAGTAAAATAGAGAGAAAGAAGAAACACGGTAGTTGAAGTGGAAGCAGTAAAAGCTTGGAAGTTCCATCATCAATGGAGATGGAAAAGACAGGCTAAAAAGTTTTCTTTTGTGTCAAATGTTAGGGAATGTTATTTGTCTATGAGAAGTTGGAGCAATTCTAGTGGAGATTTGCAGAAACGAGTAGATATAAGATAAGCAGACTAGAAAGAAAGACATGATCTCTTTCTTTTCCTTTCCTTTTTCTATCATTTCGTCTACCTAAAGAGGTGGGAGTGCGTATGTAACCCATTATTAGTGCAAGCAAAATAATTCCACTTTGTGTTTCCAGTCTTTTTCTTCAATAATCGATTTCTTTACTATTAGTTACTTATAACTAGGGCCACATATAAGGATTCAATGATCATATGCAATGGACTGCCTTTATCTCTAAGTGTTTTCTGAGGTTATCAGTACAATAAGGAATAAATGGAGTCATTGATACCACAAACTAGAAAGTGAGAGCATCGTTGATATTTTTTCCCGACAACATGCAAATGCAATTAGCTCATGGTTTGTTTGATTCCCAAATGCATGCAAATGAATTTGATGTTACATTTTAAAAGTTGAAAGTATAAATCATTTCCTTCAATTTGGTCGCATCTTGGAACAGTTGAAGAAAAATTATCACTACATCCATTTAACACACAATATGTGTGTCATACATGAAAAAAATTAAACCCGTCGGATTTCAACCTAATTTTATAGGATTAAAATTTTCTTTAAATCAAATTTGAGTCAAATGAATTTTTCGAAGGAAAGGTTGAGACATAATTGATTTAAAGTGTATATGCAACAACATGTCTTATGATAACTACTACAATGCCTTTTATATATAATGTATGATGTCACATACTTGTGGTAATTCAATAGTTGTTTTATCATATCAACAATGAAGATGACTAGAGTTTATGTTTGAGAGAAAAATAATTGTTTGAGTTGGGTCAGAGTTTAGGGTTTTGAGATGAATGGAACACCACAACCAGGTGAAGACTGAAGAAGATTTTTTTTCTTGGGTTGACTTAAAATTCAACATTTCGCACCCTATGTCTATTCCAACATATATGTATAAGATAATACATAAAAGCCTAAACTAAAAATAAATGCAATTAAAAATATTTTTTGGTTAGTAAATAATCCTGTAAGTCATTAAATTATGAAATCGATTTTTATTTTGGTCACTTAACAAATATCACATCAATGAATTCATTAAATTTTTAATTTGATTTTAGTTAAACTACCGGTTAATTAATTACACAAAAATTTAATTCTCTACTATGAAAGTAATTATATTAAAATATAAAATATAAAATAATTAATTAGATTACCCCTTTTTGACATATATGGAGACAAGTGTAAGAGAGAGAGAGAGAGAGAGAGAGAGACAGTGTGCGGATAAAATTTGTTTAATTTTATGAAAACAAGCATAAAGACAAGACTAAACACGAACAGCAGTAGATAATATCAGCAACAGCAACTCAGCTTTATTTAAGTGGAAAACTCTGTAGAATTAAAGCTTTATTTAATATAGTTTTTGAACTCACCTTGTGCTTCAGGGAAGGCAGTAGATAATATCAGCAACAGCAACTCGAGCTTTAAACCAAAGCATGCATGAGGGAGAGAAATGTTTAGCAACATCAACGAAACACAGAGAAAAAAACCAGTTAAATATGGAGGGATTCAATGTCTGTGAAGAAAATAAATTACCTATCAAATTCTCCAACATTTACCAAAAGAAATTGAAGTAACTGAAGATATAGATGAGTAGAGGAATTTGTGTTTCATTGTGTCCCACGATTTACCATTAAACACCAATCATTTTGTAGAATGGAACTCCTCTTTTACAGTGAGAATGGTACAACCGTCCTTTTTGACTCTCTGCACTTTTCTTTTGGAGACTATCGGTTTGCAGAGTCCAAGCAAACTACTGTTGCCTTTGCTGTAACCCTAAACCATTTACCTTGGCCCTACAAGTTTACCACCGTAATTTCAACGTTTTAACTTGTATAAATCCAATCAAATATATTTAACATATTATCCAAAATCGAAATGGAATCGGGTTTAATATTAAAACCTAAAACGGAAACTAAACCGAACATTGGTATGAAACACCGGATCAGTTAGTACACTCGACTCGTACATGGCAAATCAAATCAACTGAGTCCACCAAATCTCACTAAATCTGCACCCGCCTGCTTCAAACCTAAACCACCACCACCATGCTAGCCTAGCTTGGCCTTGGCCAGCCACCCATTGCTCGTCTCTTCCAACCCATTCGGCGCTATCTATTACAGCAAAAATATTATACTCAAATCCAGTTACATTTAAAGTTGGGCTAGACGGGCTCAAAAGTTTGAGGCTGGAATCAAAAGATATAAACCATTTAAGAATGTTCAATTCTATAATCTTTCATATTATACCAATAATAATGTCGAATGAATTAAATTCAACCAATAAAAATATGTAAATAATTATATAACATGTCAAATATAAAAAATAATATATTTAAAAATTTAATTATATAACATGTGAGAATGATAATATACATCCCACTTGGGCTTTGGTGGGAGGGTTTGACTTTTAAATGTCCATTAAGTTAGTAATCACTAACAACTCAGATTGACAAGATTTGCATTGCATTTAATCTAGTTAATGGAAGGTCAACATCAATAAATAATTATTAATAAAAACGAGCATGGTGATTTGCAGGTCAAAACCTTCCCTCACATGGCATGAAGTGTGAGATTAGCAAAGGTGATGGGTGGGGCGGAGGAGAGCCGCTCGTTTTGCAACCCCACTTTGGGAGGATATGGTGAAGTTAAAAGTGTAAATCTTTGGTTGAAATGCTGCCTTACTCTTAGTCTTCGCCCTTGGAGTTAGTGTTGTGCACTGCACACTCTACCATAATGGATCTTTGTCTTCCACTCTTATTCATTTCTTTTCACGTGCCATACCACTGGATTGTGTTATCCACAAGTTACATTATTTGTTCAAATTTAATTTCAATCAAATAATGCATTTGAAAATGAGAGAATTATGGGTTTAAGCCTGCTTAAGTACATTTGATTTGATTTTTTCTATTTAGAGGGATTTTAAAGTTAGTCCAAGGCCTGACCCGGGCGGGCTATATAGTCACGTATTCCAACATATTTGGTCATCCCAATATACCTATAATAATAATTCAAGGTTTGACAAATGTGGTATCAATGGGGGTCGTGTTGCTTCACCGCAAAGGAAGTTTCATTGGTAGAAGAAAACGTCGACAACTTTGCCCCATCCGCATCTGCCGGACCTTCATGTCCTCTCTAATAAACCTAGCTAGCATTCCATTCCGAAACCCTATTTCTCTCCACATGTTCTCTTCTCTTCAACCCTGATGAATCTCCCTAGCAATGGCCATCACCAAATCTAGTTTTTTACTTCTCTGCACCTTCATTCTTTGCCTCTCTTTCTTGCTTTTATTCTTCGGACGGTGCAACTTATTCCATGATGGTATTAGTAGCCACACTTTGAGCAACCGGAAGCTCCTGGCTACCAAATTCGACTTCACTCCATTTCTACATCATCACAAGCATCACCATCGACCGCATCGCTCCATCGACGACAATGTCCACCGCCCTGAACATTCCGGTAACAAGATTGATCCGCGTTACGGTGTAGAAAAACGCCTTGTTCCTACCGGTCCAAACCCCTTGCACCATTGAGGTTTTCTCATTTCCCCCCTCCCCTTCTTTCTTGTATGATTTTCTTATTTATTTTCTTATCAAGAAAAAAAAAGAATATGTAATGAAATTAATTTGTATGAATTCCATATATACTTGTCCAAAATTCCATAAATGATCATAATTCAGATATAGTACTGAAAACTTGGATCTCTCATTTATTTATTTATTTTAGTTTTGGATCATTTCTTTATAAAGTTAGTTCTTGGATTTCCGATCATATAATATGTTTTTCTTGTAGTTTACTACATTTAATTCCGTGCTGATAAGAAATAACTACAGAAAGAAGAGTAGCAGCAACGGCACGGCACATCACAGCACGGGGAGTGTAATTTTAGCAACGCTGCCCGTAAGAAATGTACTTACTATTAATTAAGATTAGTTACAATAGGAGCTTTGAAAATACTTTACAATTAATAGCCGACTCTGGGGAGAGATCTATAAATACTAATATTTAGGTAACTATCGTAAATTTATATTTTTATTTAAGTTGTTGAGTATTTATATAAATTTCCAAACATTAATAAGACATGTTTTATAAATATATATATATATATATTGTGGTCAAAGAATGTTGTAGTTGAGACTCAAGAATTTAAACTTATAAGTCCAAGTCTAAGTTTGAATTTGAATTATGTTAGTGTCACTCTTGGTGAGTAAAATGTAAAATCTTATATAAATCTTAATTGAGTATTAGGTATGTCATGACTCTGGATTAAGAGAGGTACTCATAACGTAAACTTTTTTAACCTATATATATATATATATATATATGTTGTGTTATTATTTTAACATATAAAAATACATTGTTCGTAAGTGGGGAAATTGTCAAATGATTTATAGTACAGACCGTTCAAAACTCTTAATTTACACTTTCCTTTTCTTTTAGGTTATGAGTCTAAATTTTTTTAAAACTAATACCTCTTCTCTTCTCTTCCCTGATAGAAATTATTTCAAAAAGAAAAAAATGTGAGTAAACTATTTGGTTATGCAGGGTTCTATTCATCATGTAATCGCTTGTGAGGTGTCTAAGAAACATAGCACTTGAGAATTGTTGGAGCATGCTAATTATTAGGACCGGACACGAGACATGAATCCGATGGGTTAGACCATCTTTGATCATATCGAGTTAAATTTTTTAAAGGCGTTTTAAGTTCGGATCGGGTTTGAGTTTAGAGTGAAAAATATCTGACTCATAAAATTTATAATTTTATTTTATATATTTAGGGATAATTACAATAAAATCCCTTTATATATTATTTTTCCCAATTAAATCATTATTTTTTATTGAAAATAATAATATTTTTATAAATATATTATTTCGGATCAAGTTGGTGGAACGTATATTATTTTCCCCGCGATACGATCTGGAAGACTTTGGAAACGAGACGGATCCCAACTGCTTATATCCGGGCGATTCGTGATATGTACTGTAGATCTACTACTTACGTCAGGACTACAGTTGGCGACACCGAGGCATTCCCGGTGGAAATCGGACTCCACCAGGGGTCGGCTCTTAGCCCTTACATCTTCGCCTTGATCATGGACGACATCTATTGTGCGACACCAGACGGTGTACCATGGTGTATGCTTTTCGCTGACGACATTGTCTTAGTTGCTGAAACAAAATCTGAGTTGAATAGTAGACTGGCTACCTGGAAGACTGCTTTGGAAGAAAAAGGTTTAAGGATCAATATTGAAAAGACAGAGTATTTATGTTCAAACTTCAATGGGAACCAAAACGATGAAGATGTAGAAGTATGCATAGAAGGACACGTTCTCCCCTCAAAGGATTGTTTCAAGTACCTAGGGTCTATGATACATAAAGATGGGGGTGTAGATGATGACGTTACACACCGTATAAAGGCGGGATGGCTAAAGTGGAGGGCCGCTACTGGAGTTCTGTGTGACAAGAAGGTCCCTCTAAAACTTAAGGGAAAATTTTATAGAATGGCAATAAGACCAGCGCTGTTGTATGGATCAGAATGTTGGGCAACCAAGAAGGATCACGTAAGGAGGATTGAGGCCGCGGAAATGAGAATGCTTCGATGGACATGTGGTAAGACTCTGAGGGATATGACGACAAACTCTGCTATTAGGATGTCCTTGGGGGTGGTGTCTGTTTCCGAAAAATTGAGGGAGGGAAGACTACGGTGGTTTGGGCATGTCCTTAGGCGACTACCGTCGGATGCGGTAAGGAGGGTGGAGTCGATTACAGTCGACGGTGCCAGAAGGAAAGGACGACCAAGGCGAAAGTGGGAAGACTGCTTGAGATCTGATTTGAGGGATTTAGCCCTTACCGAAGACATGACCTCTGATAGGAAAATATGGAGGCTAAAGACTAGGGTAGTCGAGTAGTGTGGGTCACATCTATAGGGTGTATCATCTCTGTCTTCTTTTAATGTCTTTGTAGTATTTTCCATGACTTATACTTTTTATACGTTTCTGTTATTGGTATTTATGAAGGATTAGAACTGGGCTTGCTAACGTTGACTTCTGTGTAGCATTCTCTTCATGTTTCCTCTTTTAAATTTAGCCGGATCTTATCTTATGTTTATGTCTATATGCAGAGATTCTTTCGCAGGGATAATTATGCAGGGATTAATTCCCGTTACAGACGCACATATGATTTTAATGACTGCATATGAATACTGTTTAGCTATGTATTTATGTATTTATTTATACATGCATTGCATTTTATCTAAATTTTTAATTTTCTGACTGCCGGAGGTCTTCCACGGAAGTTACTCTCAACCTGGCGTTGGGGGTAGCCTACTACCCTACCTCCCCCTTACCCCATACATATGGGAATTGGGTTTTGTTGTTGTTGTTGTTGTTGATTCAAATCAGATGAAGGGTATATACTTTTCGAGTCAGATTGGGTTGACTGGAACTAGACTCATGCCCACCCCTACTCATGACCCAAATTAGGAATGGGTCCGTATTCATTGAAACCAAACTCTCTAAATTGTAAAACCCAAACCCATGCTCAATTTTCAAGCACAACACTAGAAATTGTAATAGTTTTGTTTATTAAAAATGATTTGTATGCATATAACACGGGATTGTCTCAGGAAAAGCGGGCTAATATACGATTAATATACGGCGTTACCGGATACATTATAATATATTTAACAAATTCGGTTTAGCGTTATCGGAAATTTCGAGTACTAATAATGTTGTAGGTGGAAATCATGAAGAAATATTAAAAAATTTGGCAACCGACAAACTTAGATTGTCGGTTTGTGTCGATACAAATAAAAAATGTATCGCTCCATAATAATATTACAGGTAAAAATATGACAAAACTGATAAAACGCTACCAGATATGTTGAAAGTGTCGATAATTTAATATAAGTATCGACACTTTCTGAATTGAAAAGAGAAGTTATAGCGCCTAAAAAGTGTCGATACTTTATGAAAATATATCGTTCCATAACAATATAACAGCTAAAAATGTGACAAAACCAGTCTCAAAATGACAAAACCGGTAAAGAACTATCGGATATGTTGAAAGTGTCGATACTTTAATATAAGTATCGACATTTTTGGAATTTAAAAGAGAAGAAGTTATAGCGCCTATAAAGTGTCGATACTTTAAAAAAATGTATCGATCCATAACAATATAACAAGCAAAAATATGACAAAATAGGTCTCAAAAATGACAAAACCGGTAAAAAGATGTCGGATATGTTGAAAGTGTCGATAATTTAATATAAGTATCAACACTTTTGGAATTTAAAAGAGAAGAAGTTATAGCGCCTATAAAGGGTTGATACTTTAAAAAATGTATCGATTCATAATAATATAACAGGTAAAAATATGACAAAACCGGTCTCAACATGACAAAACCGATAAAGCGCAACCGGATATGTTGAAAGTTTCGATACTTTAATAAGTACACGTAATAAATTATCAATATTTTCAAAGAAATAGGTAAATATCCTATCGAAAGTATCGACACTTAGGTAGTTGTATCGATTAAATATAAATAACATATCCGGTGTAAATATAAAGGCATAGCTAAATTTCCTCTGAAAATAGATAGAGTTTTTTAAATCGAAGCGTAATTGTTGCTGCATTTCAGAAGGCGTTTCTATGGCGAAGTTTGTTTGTTTGTTGCTGCAGTCGAATCGAAAGGTACGTTGTTGAAACCCTAGTTTTTTATTATTACAGTAATCGGAAATAGGGTTTTTATGTGTTGCTGTTTGGGGTTTTTGAAGTAAAGAAGCATTTGAGACCGATTATATGTAGAAAGTGATATTCTAGGTAGATGATAAATATCAATACTTTTATTTAATATTATAGGTAAAAAATGATATTATAGGTAAGAAAATGATATTACATGTAGAAAGTGATATTCTAGGTAGAAAATAAATATGGATACCTGTATATAATATTATAGGTAGAAAATGATATTTTAGGTTGTATAAATGTGGCTACACTTGTTGTAGTGACCATTCAAATTCTTTTAAAGACCAACCGTTTTACCACAAGAGTGATTATTGATTTTTGTATATTGAATAAAGTGTATGTAAGCAATATTTGATTTGATTTGCGCATACAAATACATGAAGGAAAAATAAAGTCAATGGGTGGAAAGCAACCAAAGGGTAAATATATGTACTTTTAGTAAGTACTAATGTCTTTTTGTTATTATTGTTGAAATGGTAATTGGATTAAAGTATTCAAGAACTTTAAATTGATTACAAATTTTAAATATTGACAGTATGGCCGAATGCAAAAGGATGAAGGAAGATGGCACACACAGCGGTTCGATATGTAAAATGAAATTGACATTGAGTATTATTTAGCGTTAATGTATTGATTAAGAAACGTTTATGCTTAATATTAGGTGACAAAAGATGTGAGGTCGAAATGGAATTCGATGACTGATGCTGAAAAGGAACCTTACATCACACAATCAATGAATGATAGTAAAGAATACAAAGAACGGAGGAAATCACATGAAAAGAAGGTATTCATTAAACTTGTAAATACGTTGATACAAGATATATATGAACAATAACATTATATATTGTTAAAAAATGTAGGAAGTGTCGACAAGGTGCAACATAAAAAGGGTGAATTCATTAATTGAACACCTTAAAGAGAATGATCAGTTGAATGTGTTGAGGGAA